CTCCCCGCCCCGGGGTTTGAGCTCTCCGGGAAGGGCCGGCAGCGAGGCAGCTCCTGGCCCCGAAAGCGCCGGGGGTGCTGCGCAGTCCCGGCTGTGGGGGCCCCGCTGGGGCGGTCCCGGGCTCATCCCCCGCTTCGCTGCTCTGCCCACATCCCGGGCTCGGGCTGCTGCGCTGGAGGAAAAATAAACCCTGAAGGCAGTGTGCGTTGGCTTCATGGGGATGGAGGGTCCTGTCTAACATCCAGATTCTTCTTCTTCTTGACAGTTTTTGACCTGTAAATGCCGCGGTCGGGTCCTAGTAGAAACAAGTGTACTTTTAACCAGCTTAAGACGTTAGGTCTTTGATGGGTTCTGTTCCAGTAGTTAGGGAAAACCAGAGCTCAGGTGCCTGTGCACACCAGTTTTTTACCACGGTTGCTGAAATTCCAGCTTTGGTTTAGAAGTGGTAGACTTAATTGCTGTATAGGAATTAGATGTGGAGGAGTTTCAAATTTGCCTTCACCTATGCTCTGCATGTGGGGGTTTGGGGCCTCTGATACCCTAGGCTGTTAAGATGCAGTTTTGTGATGCTGAAGAGGCAGCCAGACTTGCTGTTCTTTATTGATTTTAATGTTTCTGTGTAGGGACTTGGAACCAAAAATCATTAAAATCCAGGCAAAATGAAAAAATATTTTGTAATCTGAAATGAAGATATTAAAAACGTAAATTTAAAAGTAGGAAAAAAAAAGATTTATAAAGAAATGCTACAGCCCTTCTTATAATGCACAAATCTATAACAAGGGTATTATAGGCTGCTTCCTATGCAAGATTGAATGAGATCCTTGCGTAGGTTTATGTTGCGAAATACTTTCTTCCTCCTCTGAAAGTACCTTCTTCATACACGTGATCCATCTACACTGACATGTATACCAACACGTTCCCCACATACAGTGCTCACATGCATGATCGTGGTTGTTAAAGGACAACACCTGGCACCGTTGATCACTCTTTTATTATTTTGAGTGTATTGAATAAGCGAGGCCTTCCGAAGTTAGCTTACACATTAAGTGAGAAGGAAGCTAAATTTGTTAACACCCAGAGAAATCATTGGGAACTGATAGCCTTTTGCAGTTTAGTCTTTGCGGAGAGGTTACAGACACTTCTGCACGTGTACAAGAGATGTGCTATGTTTGGCATCATTTTAGGTTGAATGCCAACTAATTAGTCATCTAGCAAAGATGCTTTATGGGCATTATCAGATTTCCAAAATTAAACAACTACTAAATATGTAATATATGTTGATTTTCATTTTAATACAGTTGTCCTTTGCAGAATATTTTGCAAGAGTAGAACTTCTTCCCCTGTAAGCGTTGGAGACTTTCAGCAAAATGCAATCAAGGAGAAAAAGTTCATTGTGTCTTCTTGAGCTTTCATATTGGCAGTATTAAAATAAATGTGAGAGGGACGAAAAAAACTCTCAGATTTCAGCTTGGGGAAAACACTTCTGGGTGAATATTTCAGAAAATGGATATCGTACTGCTTCTTTCTTCTTCCTTCTTTATAACCATTTGTATGATTTAAACAACTCATCTTTGAGTTTTGAACTTTTAAGTAAAACATGGGTGAAAAATATTTTGTTTTTGAAAATGATGCTTGCCTCCGTAGCTCCTTACAGTGCAAGTTATCTTCACCTGATTTGAGGAACAACTTTGGAAAAAACCCCCCAACAAAACCAAGGAAAGAAAGAAATTTCTGCAATTGATCAAATTCTACTTTTTGACATTACTCAGAGTAATAACTATGGCTTAGTTATTGAAATATAGAATATCAAAATCAACTTTTCCCTATATTTTGGGGGTTTTATGCTGATAAATCTTTATGACAAATGGGATTTATATCTTAAAAGTGGGTCACTCGCTAGTTTATAGCATAGGTAGCAAACAAAATGTCATAGGGGATGGGAATATTTAGAGATGGAAAGTATAGTAGAATACTTACTTTTGTTTTCTTCTTGAAGCTGATTTACTGTCTAGTTTTCACATGGCCTGAAACGAAACGGAGGTTTTATTTTAAGAACAAAAGGCGTCACAGAGGTCTGACTGATGCTGATTTTAAACTTCAAATTAATGAAAATATTTCTAATTCTGGTGCAAATTATCTTTAAAATCAGACTTGGGGAAGTAGCCATATTCTGAATTTTGCTGGTATATTCCAGAGTTATCACAAATAACAATGCATTAAGATTCTTCGCATGCAGAGTGAAGTAGAATATGTTTGATTTTGGAGATTTCCAAAAACTGGATCAAAATTCTCCGTGGTAGTTATGGAGGAGAAGTTAAATTTCTTGAGCATGCTTACAAATGTGGAAGTTGTCTCCCAGAAGAGTGGGGAATCTCAGTGGAGTATATGGAAGCCTGTCTTGGTGGTGCTTATATGGGAGCATGGCATATGTTGAGGGTTAATATAAGAATGAAGTTCTCCATGTCATTGAATTAACACCTTTCATTAAAAATTCACTTTATGAATGTCATAAACCTAAAAAGTTGTTGTCACTTACTACCAAACCTCACAGTGCTTAGTGTAATAGACACTAAGGGTTTATGAGAAAGCTTATTAAAGATCATTTAAGTGAAAGTTCCCATTAAGTTGGGGAGGGAGGGAATCTAAAGATGCAAGACAGAAGCAAAGAAATGTCACCTAGAAATTTAATGAAACAAAGCAGAATAGGCAGTTTTGTGTAGGAAAGAAAAAAAACTCAGAGCTGCTGTCAGGAAGACTTTAAATGCATGAGTTTTGAATTTTAGTAGAGGGAAGGTATTTAGGGACTAATGAATAAAGTAATGCTGTTGGCTGTTTGAAAATAGTGTGATGGAAATGAAGTCAGTTCATTCCCTGACCTGCATGCTTGGTTATATCATTATCTGGAATTGCAGCGTTCAATTTGTAATCTAAGTGGGTCTCCTGGTCAAAACCACTCTATAAAAACAGGGATTTTACAGAAGCCGCTTGTGGTGTCCTCAATTAAAAGCATTATCTGCTGGAAAACTTCAAGAGTACTAGCACAGTACTATTTTGATTCAGCTGTAAAAGTTTGAAGTAAAAGCATTTCCAGTTAAACCCTGTCTCCAGTTTTCATCTGCTTTTAAAAATTTTGTGTATGACATGGAGGAAAACTATAGAAAGTTAAAAAGTTGGATTTGCTCTGAAAATCACCTTGCTACTTTTTTGGTGATTAGTTTCAAAGTGACAGTAGAATTCCAAAGTCTTTGAAAGGAGCGTTATTCACTTGAAGTAAAAGGCCTGAGTCTGATTTGCTATTTTAAACTCATGCCTGGTTTCAGACTGTACTTGAGCAACTCTTGACATAAGCAAGAGCCTGCAAGAGCCCATTCAAACCTGTATTGAATTGTAACTTTAAAAAATGTAATGGTGTCTTTGAAACTTTCATGATACAGTATCTCATCACACTTAAGCCAGGATTTAGGGAAGTAGGAAGGAAAAGAGAGACTGAAGCTGATGAGGGCAGCATCACTGCATGCTGCCATGTTTCTGCTCATTTTAATGAACTGTGCCTTTTAGAGAACATCTCATCTCTGATGTCTTGCCTTTAATGGCCAAGTGTGTGGCCAGACCAAAGAAGGATGGTGATGTGTGACTTGCCTCCTGCCCAAGAGTCTTAGACTGACTGTGAAACCTGCTAACCACAAGCTGCTGGTGTTGCCCACAGTGTTTTACTGGCTCATTGTGGTGTGATTACCCATCAGTCAATGAAAGCTGAAGCCCTTTCCCTTCCTGAGTTATGTTTGGTTGTGTGAGGTAGAGTCTGGCATGAGCTTTGAGTCTCACTATGAGCTACTGAAATGGTGTTAGCTATGTGGCTTTCTCTTTGAAAACTGCCACATAGACTGACTCATGAGTAGAAGGAACAGGACTGTGTGCATTCGTTTCCCTTTTTATTTTCTTTCTCTTTTCATATTCTTTCTCATGATCTCATACCTGTGAAAAGGCACTTGAGTACTTGGTGGAATTAAATATATTGGCTATTGTCTCCCATAGGAAGGGTAGGAGAGGGCTTCTCAGCCCTGTCTAGGCTGTGTGATGTTCAGCTGATGAACAGCATTTCTGAAGAGTTTCATTTCCTGTCAATGCAGGACTTTAATCAGAAAATAAACACAGAATACACTTGAAGAGCAAAGACAATTTTCTGGTTTTAGAGAAAATAAAAATATCTACATGATTATCTGCCCTTACTAGGAACTCACGTGTTCCTTCAAGGTTCCATTGCTCAGCATAATAGATATTGTAATTTATTTTTATTTTTTAGATTGCAAATGGACTTGAAGTGAGCATTGTAAAGTGAAGCTGGTCATTTTTTTTTTCAGGCAGTTGTCCAGTCTTCCTCAGCTGGTGAGAGTAGATGACTCAAAGCTTAACAGGATATGGTGTTAGATACCTGTAGGTGATGGATTTGAATTTGGCCCAGGTTAGTAATCCTTGAAGTCATTACCATCTGTCTGTTGTTCAGTGATCTGTATAAAATTAGCTGATATTCATAGTCCAGTTCTTAGTAGACAGGTGTACACATCATGAAAACTGGCACCAGTATCAAGCTTATTGGCTGGCTCAGCAGAGATGATCTGCTGATAAACAGGCAAAAAATCAGTAATCTCCTAATTTCTGGAGGTATTTTTTCCCCTTTTCAGGTTCAGACATGCTGATGGATAAACATACATAGAGACAAGGGTTATTGTGTGCTCCCGTGGTTTTTGTGTTGTCTTTTGGTAGAGAATGTAGCCCAGGTTTTTGAATTCTACTTTAATTTTTTAAAAATGCCCTACCTACTTGTTCTGGCTTCTGAATAGAATTCTTACTTATAGGAGGTGTCCTCAGCTGTTCTCTGATAAAATGAAACAAGAGAACATGCTTCATATGATGGCTTTTTCTTTTCTTTTTTTTTTCTTTTTTTTTTTTCACTTCATTTAAAAAATGTCAACCCTATTCAGGAAGCAAGAATTTGGAAAGAGAAAGCACCAAATCTTTCACATGTAGTTATATTTAAAAAAAATCTGTAGCAACTACTTTTTTTTTAATGTAACTGTAGGAACTGATGTAATACAATTTTATGTGGTTTATGTATCCTGGGACTGATCTCATAATAGGAGCAATAACTGCACTTAGCATTTAAATTGTACTTTGCATGCTGAAACCTTTGTACAGACTTGTTTGTTAACGTTCCCATTTAGTTGTGTGATTTTTGATGGCAAAATTTGCAATACACAGAAAGCCTGTGCAGGATTTGACTGTTTACATACAGTGGAGATCTCTGCAGTGACAGTTGCCTATGGAGACGCGGCACTAATGGAGCCCAAAGTCTTTCCTTGGGAGCTGTGCTGCAGTTCAACCCATATGTTGACATAAAATGCATGGGAGAGCTGTCTTATGTTCATCTTCACAGGGCTAGGGCCCGGCATCGCTTCTTCAGCCCACATCTAACATCTATACCACTGAACTATTCTGGCTTTTTGCAGGGGTTGCTTTTAATCCTGCTTGAGCTTCTTTAAAGTGTATTATCTTGCAAGCAGTGATTCAGACTTAACTGTTCCCACTGCAGTGTGTAGGACTCTCCTCCTATTTCATTGACATAAAAATACACAACGGTATGTTATAAATAGTTCTTCAGCATTCCTAAAGATTTATGGTGGATAGATACTTAACATCCATTGGGGGATAAGCCCAAATGGTCACATTCAAAGTTAATTGGCCTTCTTACAACTCACTGCATTTTATTGCCAGTAATAGGGTGTTAGGGATTCTGATAGGATCTTCTGCTTGCAGAACCTGAGCTGATTTAGTGGTGCAACACATTTATTTTGGAGGACTGTTTAAATCACCAGTAAAAGTAGGTTAGGTGACTACAGATCACCTCCTCGTTGACAGGAATTCCCACTATTAATAATAGTTTAAAAAAGAAGCAGCAGCATGACTCACTATTTATACCCCCACTATTGTTACCAACTGGAGTTATGTTTTCTTCTAGAACAAGAAGAATAAGAGAGAGTTAGTGGTGTCGCCATAGATACTCCTGGGTTGGCATTAAGTACTGGGACATGCTAGAAAATCCAAGATTTGTCATTTTATTACTGTTAAGGCCAATGTAGGTGGAAGATGTGGAGCATGAAACGGCTGCAATTGGAGGGAAAGCATTAGGGAGATAATCAGCTTCACTGTCTCTTGCTGCTGTATTTGCTCCTACCAGACATTGAAATGTTTGGCAAAGGTTTTGGCTACAAAGCAAGGATTTGTATGTCAGTACTAGCTGGATAACTGTTAGGATGCCTAAAATATTTCTAGATACTCATTCATCTGCCATTTTCTAGTGGACTATAATGTGATTTTAACATTTGTTTTGTCGCTCTTCTGCCATCATGTTGGGCAAGCAACCAAAAGTAAACATTATTTTGTGGCCTTGTTATTGTCTGAGGGTTCCTGATTCCTTCTTTCTCATGGGTCATAATAATAAATGTTTGAGAACAGAATAACAGTTACTGAAGAGTGAACTCAAGCATAGTTTTAGTCCTGTGCTGCTGCTATAGTATTTCTAATAGCATTAAGTCATAGGCTTGAAGATTTGGAGGTTAGCTTCTTGGTCTTATCTTTCCCCTTCTTTCTGAGAAACTCCAAAAAACAAATCTGCAAAAAGGCTCCAAACACTTATTCCTGAGAAGCTGTAATCGTTTAATGAAACAGAAGAAATCAGTGTCTGAGGAGAAGCAGCTTGTGCCTCTGGGAAAAATCTGTCCCTTTGCTCAAGTTGGTATGGCTAGAAAATTACAGTGTTCTATGAGCTAAAGAAAAGAAGTTAAAGCAGTTAAAGCAGAAGAAAAGCAGTTAAAGATTGGGGTTTGTTTCAGGTCTATTCCCATTTAGTTTCTTAGAACTAACAAGTAAAGCAGTTCCTGAAAGGAATTCAGGGACTAGTCTCTGTTACTCAATAATAAAAGAATACTGAATATTGCACTCAGTTCCTGAAAAGGATTCTTGCAGGAACTGCACTCAATATTCATCAGTCTCTTATTACTGAGCAACAAAGAGTAATTCCTGCATTTTCTTATTAAAGCTGTGTGAGAAAATGACTTTTTTTTCATTTCTATAGAACTGATTTCTGAAATATTTCAAGTTCAAGTGAAATAAATATTTATATATTTAAAACAATCCTAGATAAATTACAGTGGTAGTGTGATTGTGGGAGGTCAGTTGCAGTTAAATCTCTTCTATTTTCTCTCCTATTTTCTAACACTGTAGATGAATGTCTTCACTTCTAATCTCTTGGAGCTCTTCTGCTCTCCAGAAATAATTATATTCAGGAAATGTCATTGGACTGCGTTGTCAGTAAAATGAATGATCCAAACACTCATGGATTTCCCTGACCTAATAAACACTTTTTTATTTGTAGAAAGGGGAGCAGCATCCATTTGACGTGTCCAGAGAGCAACCTACTGCAAAACAAATGGTGTGGTATGAAAGTGTGTTATCTGGAACCTGGGAGTTGCTTCTTAAAACCTCTTCGACACAGACATGCCAAACTATCCTACTTTCCAAGGACCACTGAGCTACCAACTCTTGTACAGTGGATTTTCCTTACATTATGTCTTGAAAAAATGTCTGTGAAACTTAGCTTCCAGCAGTCATTTTTTTGACATTTAGTTGAAAAATTCTTAGCTGTTCTTCTCTACATAATTTGCAAATTCTTTAGTAAAATTATTTTACATGGTTTTATTTTATTTTTTGTTCACAGCTTGGGACTCATTCTAGGTGCAAGAAGTATAGTTTCCCTGTTTTCCCACTGCATATTTGTTTTTTTCCTTCTACCCTTTGATTTAAAGTGACATCTGTAAAGAGTGACTTTTTTTTTCTTTTCAAGAGGGACATATTATTCTGCTGCTAACCCTGTTGAGTCTTTCCTCCTTTCATTTTTAGATTGCAAATACTATGTTAAAGCCTGAATTAACAGACGTGAGCCACTTATCCTCTTTAGAAATTTGAGTTGTAGGGGTTTAGAAACTGGTTGTGAATTTGTAGATCATATCTGTTTTTTCAAACAGATACTGTTTGGTAAGACTGTCAGTAGATTTTTTTTTTTTAATTTTTTAATTTATGCTGTGAGTTAATTACCTGAATTAAACTGTTAGCTAATGCTTTGATCACAGAATCATCTTAGCAGCTGGTAATGATTAGCAGCTTTCTAGCCTTTTACATTGGGAACAGACCTAAATCCCAGTGATATTAGTGTGTGTGTTCTTTGGTTTAAGGGGAACTGTAGAGTGAATGCCCCTCTGAAATTTCAAGGTAGTAAAGGAAATGATAATTAAAGTGAAACTGCTTTCTCTGATGGTTGATTTGCTGTATGCAGCTGTGAGAGTGCAAGACCTCTACTCAGTGCCCTCTGTTTAACAATGTCCTAAATAACTCTAGCTCTTTCAAGATGGGCTTTGTAGCAGGATGTGGACATAGGTTCAGACTCTCAAAAATACTTGGACATCCAACTTTTCTTTTGAATGTTAGTATTAAAGCACTTAAATACATCATGGGATATGGATGCAGTTCTTGATCCTGCAATACTAAATTGCCCAGTGCATGGCATGCTAATGTTTGTAGTCCAGTTATTACCAGTAGGACCAAATATTAGTAATAAATGCCATGAGGAAAGTGGATTTCCTGAATGCAGTGCTTTTTGTTAATTAGTGTGGTGTTTTCAGTGAGCCTTTTAATTTTTTGGCATCAGTTTTCTTAGTCACTGGGTCAAAGTTAGTTTACTGAATGGGGATTTGCATGGAAATGCTGCTTTTGATTTACTTATGTGGTAAAGGTAATTGAGCAGTGCTTCTTATTCTAGACTTATCTTGAATTGACCTTTGTTTGCATTTTGCTCTTGCTCGTCCACAGAACCCTGAAAGCGGTAACTGTTCACACGCCAGGATCATTTATGGGAATTGTTGACCTGCAAAATTCAAATTTTCTTGCTCACTTCCTTTTCATACATTAGGTCCTGTTACTGAAGTCAAAACAGATATATATGTCACCAGTTTTGGACCTGTTTCTGATGTAGAAATGGTATGTATTTCTGAGATTAAAATGCCATTTCCTGGCTCTGAGAAACCATTAACTGCAGTAGGAGTGGATGCTTCATCTGTACTGTTCTGTCAATCATGCAAATTAGGCAAGATTAGTAACAGCTTAATTTACAAGTTATAATTAGATCCATCAGGCCTGATTCTGGTCACACTTTCAGTGAGTTTTGGCTGGCTTAAGAAATTCACTTCATAGGATTTAAAACAGATTTTCATGGTGTAGAAGCAGAATCAGGCCTTCCAGGGAGTGTCTAAGTCAGTCTACTTGTGGGGAAAATGTGTAGTATCTTTGAAATTGCTTTTCATTTCTGAAAGTTGTGTTGTTCTCAGGTGAATAATAATGACATCACAAATACTTGTTGACATTTTCATTTCAGACGAATACCCTTTGCTGATCTTTATGCTCCTTTTTGCATCGCTTTCAGCAAATGTTTGACTGATAAGAGTTTTCATAGGTATCTGCAGAAACTGAACGTCCAAGTGACATGCATGAAATAGTAAGAGAGGAGAAATGTTACATTTACATGTTGTGTTATTTGGGCCTGAATGCCTTTTGCTTTCAAGGTCAAATCCAGCAGAACTCTCATCAACTTCTAAAATACAGTAGTATACCCTTAAATCATACAGTAGTTTCTCTTTTTTATAAATTATTCAAGAAATCCTATGGAAGTAACACAGCCATATGTGTGCTGAACTGAACTTCTTTATGGAAAAGGTAGTTTCAGGGTAGTAATTTTCTTCCCATATAGTGTTGTCATTCACTTTGTGGTGTACCTGATTTGCTTCTATCATGTGGAAAGGTATGCAGTAGCAAAATATTTTTTCAAGGGCTACATCTGTGACAGCAGTCTGATGTTGAAATGCCTCTTACCCCTTCATTGGTTGTCATGTACAGTATGATGCTTATCAATGTGACAAGGGGTACAAGAATCTGGAAATACTAAGGAAATCTAGTAAAAAGTGCCTAAAAACTACAATGAGGGCTGCATGACATCTCTCAGGTTTCATTGAAGCATTTGACATGGTGGCATATGGGAAGTTACTAGTTATATTGGAGAAGACAGAAGTGATAACATGGACTGAAGGTAGGTAGGGAACTTGCAAAAGGAGACTTTACAGCAGATATTTGCCCTTTCACCATTAGGGATTAGTTAGGAGGCTATATTAGTCAGGAAGGATCCGGGGGTTGTTTTTGGAATACTTTTTAGTTAATGTGTCCATAAGTGACCCAATGTAATGTGGCTGCACTCAGAAAATTCACTGCAACGGTGAGGTGTGATACGGTCTCAGTACAGGGGATGATCAGAATATCTTTTTAGTTTCTTTGGTACCCAGTGTAATGAAAGCAGTTGAAATCTTACATTACAAAATCTGTCACGTAGAAGCTAATAACAGAAACTACTACTTGTGAGCTATGAAGTCACCAGCAAGACATGACACTAGAAAAGACACTTTTCATGGATTAACTATAAATCACAGTGAAGGATACAGTCATGGAAAAGAAGACAGATATAATCCTAAAATGCATTACACCAGTAGATGTGCCTCATTGCGAATGCAAATAGATATGGCCTGACAAGTAGTTTCAATGGTGACATTATACAGAAGAGTTTGAAACAAAGTCAGAAAACATTGTTTGCTTAACAAAATCACAACTGTGAGTTAAAAAGGACTCAAAGCTTTCCATGTTACCTTTTTGAATGCTACATGATGGGGTTTTTTTTATGTGAAATGCTTTAGCTTCCTGAGATGAGAAATGCATTCCTTCATCCATTCATTCACATATTATTTCTCATGATGTGCCTGTGTTATTCTGCAGTTGTTTTCATGTTTTTGTTGGAGCATCTGTATGGCTTTTCTGAGGGTTAATGGGATAGTTACATAGTTTAAAAAAATGTGTATGTATGCAAGTCTACATATAATTTATTATCCATGTTTTGTGGGCATGGCAAAGAACTTATTTAGCTTTCCTCAGTTAAAAGCTTACTTTCCATGAGATGAAATTAAGTTTTCTTTCCTAACTTTAAAGTGGAAGTAATTGTTTGTCCTGCTATTTTTAATTTAGACAGCAGCAGCAAATTGATGGATATATTTTCTTTAAAAATCTGTTGACACTTCTTGTCAGAGATCATTTTGTTTCCAGTTATATACTTGATTACAAATTCAATTGCCTGCTTCCTGCAACCTAATTAGATTAATTATTCCTTAACGATTAAATGTGTAGTAATTTATTGATATGACTACTGTAAGAAATTAAGCTATTAAGAAGTACACAAGACACTTACTTTAATTGGTGGAAATATGTTTATATAGTAGACTTGGTATTTTCTTTACTAATGGTTTCTTTGCTCCTGAGGGATTTCTGCTTTTACAGGAAACACACATGCAAACGTGATCTTTGTTTTTCTGCAATTTAATACAGGAATATACAATGGATGTCTTCTTTCGTCAGACATGGGTAGATAAAAGATTAAAATACGATGGCCCTATTGAAATTTTAAGACTTAACAACCTGATGGTCTCGAAGGTGTGGACTCCTGACACTTTCTTCAGGAATGGAAAAAAGTCTGTTGCACATAATATGACAGCCCCAAATAAACTCTTCAGAATAATGAGAAATGGCACCATCCTGTACACAATGAGGTATCTAATATGTTTGTTTGACTTCTAACAATTACTGTATGCAAAAGTTATGCTGCCCAGACAAAATGGCAACCAGAGACTATTTAATTTGTTCCATTATAGGCTTACAATAAGTGCAGAGTGTCCCATGAGATTAGTGGATTTTCCCATGGATGGTCATGCTTGTCCTCTCAAATTTGGGAGTTGTAAGTTGCAATTATGAAATTTCTTGTAAATACAGCATTTAAATAGTAGAAGTAAATTTTGAGCAATTACTAGACTTTCTGAATATATACAGATATGTCTTGATACGCAATCCCTATGCAGACAAAACTCCTGTTAGGTTCCTTGGGAATTTTATTTAGGACCTTAAAAATTAAACCCAGAGAACTGAAAAGCAGTCAGTGATTCAGCTATTATGTTAAACCTGACTATTCTGATTACACATTTGCTTGAAATATATAGTTTTTCTTGGTTCTCAGTAAGGAATTGGATACCTAGTGAAGTGATTATCTGGAGAAGACAAATTCAATTTATAACATTCAGGTAAAAGGCATCTAAGGAAGCAGGTTATTTACCTTTCTGTACAGGTAGTGGAGGTACATTGGCATCCCAAGGTAGATGTGGAGGTTATGTGCAGAGATTTGATTCTTAGTTGTAATTGTCTGCATGACAAGTTTAGATGAGATAAATAGTTTTTAAACTAGTGAGAAGAATCTTAGTGCAGATGACTTTTCTGCTTTGAGATCAGATGTAGATTTTTGCAAAACATCTAAACTTTGACTAAAAGGAACATTTTGGAACATGCTGCAGAAGAACCAAGGGAGGTAGTTATGGTTCCCTGATATGAATCCAAAGCAGAGACTTCTGAGACCCCCTGGGGATGGTTGGTGCAGTCCATTAACTATCTTGTCACTCTTACAAGACTTCTTGGTTGCTAACTTCTCTGCTTTAGACTCTCTGATGTAGTCAGCAGCTGGACATTATTCTATTTTCCTTGACACCAGAGCTCTGAAGTCACAAATGGCTGTAGAACCCTAGTAGTTTTTCCTTAGCATAAATTATCTTATACAGCTGGGTAGTCAACCTAAAGGGGGGTATTAAAGACACTGCTCTGATACAATTTTTAATGCCTGCTACAGTGAGACTGGAGACCAGGTGCTGCAAGATTTGACTGTGGTATCAGCTGTATGATAGGGGTACTTCGATAGTGGGGGCTCCTCCACAGGCATCATATTTCTTCAGGCAGGATCACCAACCGGCAGAAATTTTGCTGAACACTAATCTGATATTTCCTGCAGTGAAACTTGAAATAACATGTAGCCATTTCAAATGTGAGACTGATTTGATTTAATTTTAACAGGAGTTTGGACTGTGTAGGGATTGAATGCTAACCCTAAGTTATGTCTTCTGCCTTATATGTAGAATGTTTCTTTGTGTTCTTGTGAATTTTTTACTGACCTATGATTTCCATCAAATATTTTAAACGGAAGTTTAAAATATTGTAGTTTTTAGTGTAATCATTCTTTTCTGTAAAGAAATGTACACCCAATCTTCAAAATGTATCCTCTTTGTACATGCTCTTTTTTGTAGATTAGTGTATTTTAACAATAAAATTTTAGATAGCAATTGCTAAAATAAAGATAAACTTTGCATGCCCAGTAGGGGCTGTTCCAGAAAGACCTTGCATTTAGTCTTCACATTCATATGTGAAGTGAATTTATGTGTAACACTTGACATACAGTCTTAGTTGTTGTTTATTCTCCTCTGAGGGTGGCTTTCGGGAATAACTTAGCATGAAGGGTATCTTCTAAAGTTGTTTATGTGAGTTTTACTGTTTGGTTTCAGTAGATTTGGATTGGGCTCTTAGTAAGGTATGAGAAAAAGTTTCCTGTTTATGCAAACTGATGCTGTGTTGTAGATGCTTATCCAAAGAGTGAAATGATTTATACCTGGACAAAAGGACCTGAGAAGTCAGTGGAAGTTCCTGAGGAGTCTTCCAGTTTAGTTCAGTATGACCTGCTTGGGCATACGGTATCCTCTGAAACTATTAAATCTATTACAGGTAGGAATCTTGTCAGTAAAAATCAACTTGAGGTAAAACTAACCTGTAACATTGCCCAAAGCTTTTTTCCTTTTCTTTCTGTAAGTTATTCTACTGAATGTCATAGGGTATGTACTGAGGGCTGAGAGCGTAAATCTGAATTAGGTTTCTGTCCTTGAGATTTACATTTGCAGATTCATTACAGTAAATTGTGACAGTCTTTCAGAAAGCTAGAATGAGATCATTACTCCAAGGGACAAAATGAGCATTTAATCACTGCTTAAAATGCAGTTTGAAGAGTCAAGAGGATGCCTGGGTGAGGAAGTAATTTCTCAGCACTGTATCCACATTATGTGCAAAAGACTTCCTTTGTTTGGCGGTGCAAACAGCTTGGGATAGAAGTACAGCATACAGAATGGGTTATTAAAGCCATAAAAACCCTCTAGTTGGATAAGGATAGGCACAAATGCAATAGTCACAATAGATACTTCTGATTTTTGCTGTAAGAAATAAGGCAAATGGTAACTACAGGCATCCGAAATGAGTGAAGTATCGCTGATGAGCAGTGTGTTGATAAACAAGCATATTCATTCCCAAAATATTTTTAAAATTTTGAATAATTTTCTAAGCATCAGCAGGTTTAGGTGGTGTGAGATGGTAAAAATAAAACAAATAATGCAAATATATTTGATGTATTGCTCTACAGGTATTGTACTCAAAGATAAAATGGCATTTTGCAATACACTAGAAATTTACTTCTCAGCATATTGATTATTATGAGTTAACAACAAGATTTCCTTGCTGTCCCCAAAAGACTCATTCTATAGTGCTTTATTTAGACAGTTTATTCAGTTCATGGTAAAACTGCTTTTTTGTCTCTTTGCTTAATATGATGATGACATTTTAGATAAATAGTGTTTTTAATTCTTCTCAATGATTTTTGTATTTGTTTCATTATCATAGTGATGCTGACTTATAAGTCTAGTAAAAAGCTGAGATGCTTGCATAACATTCAATGTGTATCATTGTTCTTATTGTTTTATTTGGCAGGTAGGTACTATGATGTTATAGATACTATGGTAGGTAGGTAACTTGTCTCTTGGGTCTCTCTTCTTCAATAGCTGCCAGAAGGATTTTTAAAATCATGCTTATACTGTAAAATTAAACCCAGTATTAGCTGTACATTACAGTATTTTTGACATCGGCTTTTGAATGGCACTGTAATGACCTATCATTTCTAGGATTTTTTGTTTAAAAGTTTCATTCATTCTTTTTCTAAAGAACATATCTTTCTGAGCATGTTAAGTAATATGAATAGCATCGTCTTAAACAATCCTAGTTGAGAGTCTGAAACAGTTATTCTGCAACACAAATTTTATACACATTCAGAAAAATATTTTTCTTTTTCTTTCTTTTAGGTGAATATATTGTTATGACAGTTTATTTCCACCTCAGACGGAAAATGGGTTATTTCATGATTCAGACCTATATCCCATGCATTATGACCGTGATCCTCTCTCAAGTTTCGTTTTGGATAAATAAGGAATCTGTTCCAGCTAGAACTGTTTTTGGTAAGTATTTCTTTTTTTTTAACTTTTTCTCGTAATTGTTCTTTTAATGACTTCCACTAGAATAGGCCTTTTTGCTGCCTTGGGGTATATGGCCTCCATACTAGCACAGAAACAAGGGAATAATGTAAATTCAGAAGAATTTTTGGTATCGTTGTATGAAGAATGTTGTTATGTGAATCCTTGGAACCTGAAGAGAAACTTGGAATATATAACCTGAAGGGTGTCATGATTGTCTGTGGCAAATGGCTGTACAGCTCTAGGGATTTTTCCTGCTTAGGGGAAAAATCTGGCAAAACCTGACCCTGAGTAATAGTCTGGCCCTTAGTCTATATCCAGAGCAGGTTTATCCTCCAGTGGGCAATAGTGTAAGTCCTGAACTCACATTTTATAGAATACTTGTGAAATAAATTGGAGTGTGAAAGATGTACAGGTGTCTTGTTATGAGGTATCTGTGTCATCAGTGGAAGCTTGCTATGAGTAAGGCTTAGATCCTGTTACTGTAATTTCATGTTTAGTGCTCTTCTTTCCTTTCTACCATTGCCATTATGAAAATGAATTACAAAAGCAAAATGATCACAAGATATTAAAATTGCCCTCATCAAAATACAGCTTGAATGAGATGCTATAGTGAACTATGAGAATAAAAAACAGAAAAGCTTCTGTGGAAGAGAAAGCATAAGAAATTAAATGGAAATATGATTCCGAACAAAGAAATAGGATAAAAACATTTTAAAATCAACCTTTATAGAGCAATGTCTTGGCTTCATAAAGTACTGTAAACTAAAGCAGGAAGAGAATGTTCTGCAAAAAGCCTTTCTATAGATAGATACATGCTGGAAAGAACAATAGGAATTAATGTTTTTATGTGGTGACACATTCAAACGTGTCCGTGGAGTTGGAACATTGTTTGTATTACAAATGAGACAAGGTTAATGATTAGTTTTAGGAGAAACAACTTGTAAACTTAATAAGAATCCCACTAGCTTTCAACTCAAGCATTACATTAGGCAAACTCATATATTGCTTCATATATCTTCACAGTGATGTTGAATTGGAAATATAGAATCTGTTTTTACAGACCAAATGAGATAATTAAAAATGTACAGACTATAGAGCAATATATGTAATGTGTGTAACTGTATCCATATATGAAACTGAAAAATACTAATAAAGTTTGGATGTCTACTAAGTTAGAGATAAGTCACTAAAATGCCTTTGAAAGCAAGTAACTTAGAGTATGGCAGCAAGTATCTTTCTACTTTTGAGACAAATTCCAACAGGGACCCTGTTTTCTAAAGCTTTTTTTTCAAAGAGATAAAGAGATAGGGAAAAGACAGGAATGAAGCCATGCTATGGTACCTGCTTTCTAGAGGAACTGTCAGAAGAGGCTAACCAAATGACCATTACATTGGACACTGAATGATTAGGAAGAATTTATCAAAGATAACAGATGAAGGATATGCAAGGAACTAAGGTACACTGATTCATGATTCCTGCAGTCAGAGCTTCAGACACCTGAAATCTGGTGATTGGGGGAATTGGAAAAACAGCAGTAATTTTAGAACAGGTTTTAACCATGTAAAAATTTATTAATAGTATTTAATTTTAACATTAATTTTTATATTTATGTTAAAAATTAATACTTATGTGCATTTCTGAGCAGGAGCTTTTAAGTATTTAGCTTTGGATAATTACAGTTTATGTAATTACGTAAACAAAATATTTTTACCAGGACTTAGTTCCCTACCCTGTAAATCACTATGACACATATCTAGGAGCAATTGCAGTGGCAGCTACAAGTCTCCTGAAGAATGATTTAATAGGGAAAAATCCAATAAAGATATAATACTGTCACGGCCTCCCCTCTCCTCCTTGTTTTGGTGAATGTTTGGCCACTCAATTCACTTCAGCCTACTTTTACATCTATTAAACAAATGTCTTTAGAAACAATTTAGGCAAACTTTTTGCTCTAAGTGGACAAAGGTCCACTCGGGTCCTCAGGAAGGATAGGGCTAAGCAGGGATGGAAAAAAAAAACTGTGGTGGGGAAAAAAAACCCTTTCCATAATTTATTTTTTTCCTCAGACTTAAACGTTTTCAATGCTGTGTTTTTCAATACCTTCCAACTGAAGAAGGTTTTGTGAGCTTGCATCTGTGTTTTTTATCTTCCTGAGTTTGCTCTGATATATCCCTTGTACTTTCATGAACTGGCTATTACTCTTTTTTTCTTTTTTGTCTTCTTTAGTATGAAGGACTGGTTTTATTGTACGGCAGTGTCTAGGTGAAGCTTTTTTGTGTCAGATTACCTCTATGGAATACCACTATTTAGCAAATGGGGGATGTGAGGGATCTGTTGAAAAACATGTTCTTAAATAGTTTGAATTCTTCTGAGTATACGAATTATATCTTGAATTAGAATGGTTACAGTGTTCTTTTCATAAGAGTAAAGATATCTCCATTTGTAGTTAGTCTTCCTTGAGATTATCGTGCTAGGACTTGTATAGTGTTCACTATATACTCAGTTTTTTACATTTGGATGATATGGGATATTTTGGATGAAAAAGGAAGAAAGGACCCCGTACCTGGTTTTGTGCCACATGTATTTGAATTTGAAGTACTGCCATGAAGTGGTTGTGTTTTGAGTTCAGTGTTCATGCTTGTATATTTAATTAAAAAGTTGTTCTTTCAGAAGATGAAATTCTGAGTAAATGTTATTGGTTGACTAGTAGCAGAAGGCTTTAAAAAAAAGGGTTGATGGTTTCTTAACTAACAGAGTTGCTAATATAATATTCTTCCTTAGCACCAAAATAATTTGTCATGACTTAATGACACTTGCATTACAAGTGGGATCAGAGGAACAGATGCAGAATAATAGGTGGTATTCAAAACCCTTTACAGGAAAAATCATGTTTTTGTTGCAGTCTGAGGAGCACGCCTCAATTTAACAACCTAAATTATGTTCAAATATTTAGAAAATAACTTGTAAAAACTTCTACTGAACTTGACATGAAAAAAAAAATGAAATAAAGGCTTCCATGTTTTCTTTATGTGAACTGTAGATGATCTGCTGAAGTGATGGTTTTCCATGCCTCCTTTAAAAACTAGTTAACTGTTTTGTGTGCATAGCTGCTTGTGGATATGGTGGTTGCCATATCCACAACTTAAATGTAATGGCAGTATTCACAAGCAGTAGAGAAAGGCTCACAAGTGATTTAAAATTCTTTGTTTTAAGCTACTTGCTTTGTTTTACTTTGATTCAACAGTGCTTTTGCTTTATTTCTTTGAAGGAATAACCACAGTGTTGACAATGACGACACTGAGCATCAGTGCAAGACATTCACTGCCAAAAGTATCCTATGCTACTGCCATGGACTGGTTCATAGCGGTTTGCTTTGCCTTTGTGTTCTCTGCTCTTATTGAGTTTGCTGCTGTCAATTATTTTACTAACATTCAAATGGAAAAAGCCAAAAGGAAGACAGTAAAGTCCCTTCTTGAATTTCCAGTTGCTCCAGTACAAAGAAAAAGAAGTACAGAAGAGACACTCACGGTATGTTTTCAACTTTAACAAACATTTTCTGTCTTTTTGGTAGTGTTTCCCAGAAAAAAAAAGGCCTTTAACTTCCTCTCAGGTTCCCTCTGAGCTTATGATGCTATGTAAGTCAGCCTAATGGAAGGCTAATGCTACATTATATTCAATTATAAAAACCTGTAAAACATGATTTAATTCTTCCTTGCTTTGTTGAATAAACTCAGGGGAGAGGAGGAGGTTATGTCCCTGCAGTCTCTTCTATGTTTGTCTTTAGGTAAAGGTCAGTTATGATGGGTATCTTGAGGAAACTGTTGCCTTTTGCACATTGATTCTGAATGGACTGATTATACAGACCAAGATATTACAGATTATAAGGGCAGTGTGTTATCCAATGTCTTTAATGAATTAAAATAAGCTACAGCATTGCAGTTGTACCTTGGAGCACTTTCTTAGACATCACAGTTCTCCTTGCATTGCATGTGTTGCTTACCTAGAATTTGCTTTCTTTATCAGTTACAATTTCAGGAATAATTGAGGAATGCTGGATGGAACTTTTGTGTCTACCATAGATATAATTTTTATGTAATTTGTATATATTTGCACAGGAGTTCACCTCAATCCCTGAAAAGTTTTTGAGGCTCTTATTAACAAAATGCTTTCCTGCTTTCATAGTGCTTTGGATTAAGTGTGATTTGTGTGGTATCTCTCTTAGTCTGTGGACCAGCTAATAAAAGCTCAATCTCATTTCCAGTTGAGCTCACCAGTGGTACCCTTTCCTTCCTTTTTGCATTCCCGTATGCTTACTCTCTGCTGCATCTATTCATTGCACACATAGCTAACAAAGTCATTATGGCACCTGTACCAGACATGTGGTATGACAGTAATTCCCAGCCATGACTGACTCTTGGTAACACCACTCAAGAAGTGAAGACGGTGACAGTTGTAATTTACTCTTCCTGTCAGGGTGACTTTGTAATTTCCTTTGGCTGAACCATGATTTAAGAAGTGCTGTTTTAGACTAACTCTTGTTAATTTTGTCTTCTGTCTCTTTTCACATCTCGTTTGTCTCCTTCCCTATTCATCTTCTCATTTCTGCCTTCCCACCCCTTCCGTTTTCTATCACTGCTCAATTGCTGTACAACCACTTCCATTTTTGTTCCTCTTCTTTGCTGTCCTACTGTAGATACTGTTTTCAGTCTCCTCGTTGTTTTGTTAGCTCTCATTTCTGCTTAAAAGGAGATGTGCTCCTGAAGAGTTTATTTATCTCTCCATTCGTTACTAGTAAGGAAGAGGAACAAAAATATGTTTATAGTAGTATGAGTTCACCTTGTATGTTGACGTATTAGTGCTATTAGCTTATACTAAGCTTCTTGATTGTGCAGCATGAAGGTTACCATAGTATCTTGGCTGCTCCTGAGGAGTGTTAATAAACACTGCTTTTGGTGATAGGTTTTATTTACGTTCATAGGAAAATAAATTACATAAGAGCAGTTTAATCCTAGGTTTATTTATAAGATTTGATTTAAAACAAAGGGAAAAATAGTAATTTTTGCAGGTAGCTTAATGAAACTTTGATTCATGGGCAGAATTGCTCCAAGTCAGTGGTGTATCATGCTTAGCCATTTATACACATTTTGGCGAACCTACTTTTTCTCTTTTTTTTTTTTTTTTTTCTCTGTTATGGTTTTTGTGGGTTTTTGTTTTATTATTTAACAACAACAGCAACAGAACACACAACTCGAAGGCTAGATTAAATGAGATTTGAACACTTCTGTTCCACTGCTTCATTAATACCAGTGTGATAAATATGGTAGTGTGCTTATAGGTTTGGGGACTTTGAAACCACTCAAGGGAACACTCTTCTTTTTCAAAGGGTTTTACATTAACGTTATGAGTATGTGAGTGAGTAATGTTGATTGTACCTTGAGCTGTTAGTTTTTTCATTGCTTTTTCCCTAGTTGTGCCTATACTAGGACTTGAGGCTTTGCTCTTGTAGGACAAGGTGACTGTTATAAAGATTGTGCAGTTCTTTCTATGTCTAGAGGATGACTTCTGATCTCCTGTTGGGCAGAACAGAAGCTAGTATTGCTGTTCTGATTCTCTAGAAGCTAACATGGCTGTTATACTTTGCTTTCCAACCTGACATGTAATACCGTTCTTGCTTTATTTTGCTTACTAATATAGAATTTTCCTTATTATTATTATATTTTTATTTCTTTATTCCTTATAATTTTTTTTTTCTGCATGTATACTGTCTAGTCAGTGCTGATGTACTAGGGATAATGGAATATTGGCTTCCTTGTTAATTTGTGGTGCACAAAGAATGCCGGACAATTGCCTGACTGTAGTATGTAATCTGTAAGCATTGTTTCTTTACATAAAGACTACACATTTTTTTTCTCCATAGCTAAATGATAGGCTTTGATTTCTTAACCCAGTTAATGTTTAAAAAAAGTCTGTACTATGTTGCCACCATTGTGCTAGAAATTCTGTTGATAGCAGTACAATTGCCAGAGCTCAAGGAAAAGTTATATTTTAAACTTCTTTTCAAACAGAGTTTGCCTATACTAGGAAATTTGCCAGTCTCCCAAAATTAAAAATTTTCACTTAGCCCAGGGAGGAAGTGTCTGTTAATTGGAAAAGAAGATGCCTGAATACCTAAACCTCACAGTCTGACGCGTATCTCACCATTTGCAACCTTTGGTTGCTTTGGATCTTCTACTAGTTGAAGAGGGAGATCCCTCTCTTATGCCTGTTAGCCCTTTACTTTTGCCAGCCTTGAAGTGGCGTACAGGTGTCTGTGCTGGCTTTTTGCAGTTGAGGTCCCATCTGCATAGGTCCTCTGAAAACAAGAAAATTACAGAGCAGTTGAGGCTGTTAAGGAAAACAAGGCACTATTATACTTGTAAATAAGGGTTTCGTTTTATGGGCTGTTGTTTCTGCATTATTCACTGGGTGGTTTTATTCATGTAACTTTATTTTATTTTTTAATTTACTTTTTTTTTTCCTCAAGTAACATGATGGGATTGTCCTAGAGGGGTTCTAGGAGGGAACAAGGCTATGAAACTGGATTAGCTATAGAACATGGAGATTCTTCTATCTGATGGTATTAGAAATTAGGCACGTTAATAGTAAAATTTGGTAAAATAAATTGCACATAATTAGAAGTCCTTTTTTCGAGAGGTACGTCTTTTAGCAGTTCCTGACCATAGAATTAAAATGGGGTTCCTATATTGAATCAGTTCATCTATTACTCATGCTAATTAGAATTCTTGGTGGTGGGTTGTTTTTTTTCTTTTCAATCAAAATCACTTTTCTAGTTGTCTTGAATCAAAGGCAACTCCTATCATTATGATCAAATGATTCAGATATGTTCATTCATATTATATATTTCTTCACCACGACCAATACATCTGTACTGTACCAAATGTGGACTATATGCTTTTCGAAGTTATTTTCTTATGTAATTATATTTACTGTTTTGGAGCCACATGATGGGTGTGACTGAATATACTGATTGCAGTAAGCATTAAATGCATTTCGAAGGCTAACTAAGTAATCTAAACTGTATTAATTCCAACCAAAAAATCCTGGCATAAAGCTAATTTACTGGGCTGGAGCAAACCTATAGTGCCTGCAGATGCAGTGTGTGTTCCTTTATCACTTAATTTGGTTTTAGCCATAGTATTCTTCAACCTTTTTTTACACTCCCTCCCTACCCCATTTCAACTCTTTCTTCTTGCTGATTTTTGACTTTTATTTTGCGATCTGCCTTAAGTTCACAAGGAACTTGGACAGCTTCACTCATCCTTTGTCAGGTACAGCAAGATAGCATTGCAATCTGTCTAAGCCAAAAGAGATGACTTACACCATGGTCTTCTGCAATTCCTTGTTTTGGGAGGAAGTTAAAATGCTTTCAGGTTAGAGGAATGAACCTGTCCCTAAATGTTCTGAACCCTTTTAATATAAGCAGAAATGTTGCTGCAAGTAAATCTGTGATGGAAATGAATGATTTATAGTTTGTTATTGGAATCCTGAGTCTATTTCTGTGCTTCTACACTATTTCCTCTTCACTATATTCTTATGAAGTTTATTTTTAAAGATCTACCCAATTTTGGAGATGAAGAATGCAACTGAAAAATAGTCTTCAAAAAACAAAGTCCTGAACACTGGTAACATGAGCTTCAACCTCAGCTGTTTGTTAAAAGAGTGTGAAACTTGGGGAAAAATCAGGTCAGACTCAAAAAAACCCTTTTGAATGGAATTATTTTTTCAAACTCGGTCACAAGTAGGTTGCAACTCTCAAACTTTCTTCCTCTTTCCTGAAGATGATTAAATGCCATCTCGTCTTCAGTAAGCCCTGTAGCATGGAGGAGCTTAAGGGTCAAGCTCTTCACTGCCATGTAGGCACACACTCCTCTCCTTAATAGGAGCATCCATGCTTGGGTGGTATGTGACTTCACAAGTTTACAAGAAATGTTGTCATGTGGACAAGCTGCATATGTGATTTCATTTCAAGATGTATTTTCTGTGCTATGAAGTACTTGTCTTTAGTCACATATGGGCATATGGACAGCTCAAGTAATACCATTCACTTTCTTTGCTCCTGCTTTGGAGTAGTAAAATAATAGCTTCCTCTGTCCTTTCAAATAGGGAAATGGAGCTAAACCCACTTGCCTCACAAGTGAGGGGGATTATCTGAAGAGCAGCTAGGTCTTGATGGAAGTACTTGGACCACAGGTCTGGATATTGGACTCCTTATGGGGATGCATGGCCTACCTCCTTTGTGTGCCTTAAATAATCCTACAGTTGGAACACCGTTTCAGTTTTTAAATATAATAACCCCTTTTTTCTGCTTCACTGGTTATCCACTGCCTGGGGTGTTATAATTTGGGTTTTTTTGGGCAGTGGCATTTAAAACTTAGATTTTAATGAAGGACTTCAGGCTCAAGAAATGTGTAGAGTTTAACTATAAGGACAGGGCTATACGAGCGGAGGCTGCTGTGCCATGTGAATAA